AGTTTCTTTAAAATTTGTGATGAACATATTTCAAGACTATTATAAGGAAAATATTCTTTGTCGAGGACAACTGTTACTTGAAAGTAGAAAGACAAACTGAGTAATTGCTTTTCTTTAGCAGAAGAATGAGAAAAGATAATTAAAAAAATATTTGAAAACATTTATTTGCGGGATATAGTTTACTTGTATGAAACAAAGTCTATTTTTGCGAAATAAAATTATTGTGGATGAAATTTATATCTCATAAATCAACTTTCAAGAATTCTCTTCTCAGTGTATTTCTCTGTGTGCAAATGCTACTCGGCTCATAGCTACACGTGATAGCGTTTCGTACGTGTTTGCAGTGGATTCGTGTACGTTGAATTGATCACGCGTCTCATTAGTAAACTCTATACATATTTTTTCCCTCAAGGATTTTCCTCTCATCTCGTGATGTAGCATACGATGAAATGAAAGTGGAAAGGATATTAAGAATTTGCAATTTGCAACTAGGTGTTACTCGACCCGTACCTACTCGCGATGGTGCTTGCGCACATCTCCAGTATATACGTCGTGTTAGCGGGGTGCGTCGTTCATATAATAGACTTTACGGTAAATGCAAGGGGAAGGGGGCTGCTCGCTCGTCAAATTCGCTGAAACATAATGACAGAGTCGTGCCTAAATGGACCGTGGTGCCTGTCCTCCTTTACCGTTAATTCCGACTAGCCCTCGACTACGGGGGACTGCGACTCTCTACGTTATCCCAGCGGGCAGTGATTCGCACATATCGCGACGACATTACCTGCGAGACCCGTGCAGTCACGGAATCACCGTGATCGCTCCATCGGGGTGAGTCACTCGCAAAAGGAGAGAGAAATGAAGGAAGGAGGACACGTGACGTACGTTGGCAAATTATATCGGCCAAATGAAGCGATAAAGTTCGGCCGCAGACGTGTTATTACGGCATATAAAGACGCTCGTAAAATTTTACCAATTCCTACTGTACAGCGCGAAGAATCGACGAGCGGGATGGAAAGATAGCCGGGTGGTGGGAAGGTGGACGTGTTTGCTGCGAGCGTGTTCGCGTTTTTTCTCACTCGCTCCTCTCGCGCCAGCGAGGATTGACTCCTCGACTCTTCCTTTTTCTTCCGGGCCCGAAATTTGATCGATTGAACCCGAATACCGCTGGTGTCGAGTTCCCAGCATGAAAGAGAGAGAGAGAGAGAGAGAGGGGGAGAGAGAGAGAGAGAGAGAGAGAGAAGGGGGGACTCCATCGCTGTTTTTACCGGCAAGTGGCAGGATACCGCTCGTTGCACGCAAACTACTTCGCAAACCGATCGCGCCCGAGTTCTCCTCGCGCAGAGTCGCGGTCGATGAAAGTTTGCAAAACACCTGAAAATGGATTTGATTGTTTAAGTGGAGGGTCGAGTCCACGAAAGCTCGCATGCTTGAAAACGGATTTAGATACGGTAGGAAATCCTTTAAAGCTCGATGTATCTAATTGTGTACATTCACTTTGAATCCTTTTCAATTTTTTTATTAAAAAAATTGTATTAATTTAAAGTGATAATTTCGCCGATATATGCTATAAAGCTTTATTCTTCGTTCCAACCCATGTAAAAATAACTTTATCGCTGAAGAAATTAACGTAGCGATCGTCTGTAGAGTAGAATCGTAGACGTTCAAGAAATTGTGCAGTTTTCCAATAGGAAAATTAAGCAAATTGTATTTAAAAAATTTTTGATCGTTGTCATGTCAAAGTACAAAGTTGATGTTTTTATATTCATTATCATGGTTATAATGTTTATTAAATTTTTAATTTTGCATATATTTAGGAAATCGCGTACTTATTCGATTTATTCAATTTTATTTGGACCTCTTCATCAGCAGCGTTTTTTGAGATTATTCAAGGAAAACACTTCATTCGAACGGAATCGAAAGAGTTGACAATATTTGCACTATGAGAAACAAAATACTTAAAAATTTATTTGCAGGATATAAAGTTTATTCATACAGAGATAAATCTAATTTCGCAAGAATAAACTTTATTTCATAGAAATAATATCCCACAAATAATTTTTCAATAGTTTCTTCTCGTGGTGAACTCACAACGAGTTTAAAAAAATATTCAGACATTCCAGATAAATTTCGCAGGAAGTGAGAGTCGCGTTTGAATAGTAAAAATGTCGAATCATGACGCTCGGTGCCCCGTCTAGCTCGCCCGAGTGACCATTGGAGCGCTTCTTAGATCTCTCAGGTGAACTTTGCGAGTCGCACTCGCCAGGTGTGTACGCACGACGACGGGGGGGAATTGCTGCACGACCCGCCGGCGGAAAAGAGAACGAGTAAAAGAAAGAAAAACATTAAAGGGAGAATAATCGGTAGGAGATCGAGGAAGGAAAGTGGCATCGGGCGTTGTCGGCCGATCGCGAATTCGCAGAATCGGCGAAATCGTCGTGATCACCGGGCCTCATTAGCCCGCTCGATCGATCTTCCGCGCGTGCAGACCGCGAGGGCCCCAATCGGGCATACGGGGCCGCCTCGAAGCGGCGGCCCTCTCCTCTCCCTGTTCCCTCTTCGTCCTTCTCCAGCCCCCAACTCCCTGCTCGCCGTTTTCTTCGGAATCGTTGCGAGATCGTCGAACTTCACGATCCGATTTCCTCCGGGCGACGTTGCTCAAACGATGCCCGGGATCGGTTCCCGGTTTCCTACTGTACGCCGATCTCGCGAGTTCGAAACTAGATCGCGTTGCACAAGGCGCAGTCCGGAGAGGGAGGGAGGGAAAAAAAGATCGCTGCGGGGAACAATCGCATTGTGGCCCCCCTCGTCGCTCTTGGGACCTACATTTTCTGGGCCCCCGGATTTCTCAGCGGACGGACGACATTCTTGAGTCCTCGAGGAGGTTTCCCCGGACCCCCCCTTCATTCTCTCGCTTTGGACGCGGCCGAGGATCCTTTTGATTTTAATCACCGAAATTAGTATCTTGATTAAAAATTTTAATTATAATACTGAATTAATAGATAATTGTGAATTCGGGGTATCGATCCTTTCAGGCGAGGTAGTTCAGGTGAGACTCGGTTTCAGTAATCGAAATTAAGACAAGACTAATGAAGAATCAGACTTAATAATTGCAATTAGGGGATCCGAATTTCTATCTGTCAGTTAAAACTATAACATAAAGAATTACCTATCTCCGCCATTGCGATTTGGATCGACGATTTTTTTAGTTTAATTAGCAGAATCGGGGGAGCTTGCTCCTTAATTAAAATTTTTAATTAGTGGATTGTCATTGTAAAATAAAGGTGTTGAATCTTTCAGGACAATCAAAGAGAGACTTGGTCTCGAGTGATTGAAATGAAAGAAGCCCTAACGAAAAGTCAGACTTGATAATTGCAATTAGGCGATCGTAATTTTCATTTGCCAATTAAAACTACAATGTAAGGGGATTAGCAACTTTCGCAATGTCACTTGCGACCTGGGTCGACGATTTAATCGGCCGCGATCTGAGACCAGTTCGCAGCATTCGTAGTACACGCGTTCGCACTCTCGCTGCCGTCGCGTTGTCTTCGCAGCCATCATCGTCGGTGCTACTCGCCCGCGTTACTCGCTATTGAGCGACGAACGCGCGGCACAATGACGTCGGGTGCGACCTAGATTTTCCAGGGTTTTCTTGCGCGACGAGGTTGCGGGCTCGGTACATCGGCTGCGGGCGCTCGTTTGGAGCAGCTCGAAGAGCAAAGCTCTCTCGCATGCTCTAGGCGTGGGAACGCACCGTAACCGTGTATAAATTCGCTCTAGCAAGGCGCTCGGCCTCTCAGAGGTAGGTGCGCGGGTGCGAGAAAGAGAGGACGAGAGAGAGAGGGGGAGGGGGAGAGAGACGGAGACAGGCAAAGAAAGAAAGAGAGAGCGAGAGACAGTGAGGAGAGGACGGCGCGCGTGTACGACGCCGAGTGGTATGAGCAACGCTTGCTTGCGCAACTTCTTTTCCGCGCTCGCTATCCCCGCAACGCGCCGCACAACGCACTGTACCAAATTAATACAGTGTAGCCGTGCGAGCAAGCCACGCTCGGCTAAATGCCAACAACGCGAGCCCCGCAACAATTGATCGCAGCCACCACGCCGCGCTCCCGGATGTCCGAGCGCCGTGCCGCGAACGTTCCTGCGACCGCGCCAAGAATGCTCGCCCGAGAACGTTGGGATTACGATGTGGTGTCGCTCAAAAACCATGAAGGTCGCCGAGTTTGGGAAGTATCCGGGAACGTTAAATCTGCGGTACTACTTCGTTACCGTTGGAGCCAAAGTTCCACGAATGTAGGATACATGGGTTTAGTGTTATCGCGGCACCACCATCGTTTAAAAATATACCTGCCGGTTCTAATCTCAAAAAATTTTTTTAATCACATTATGATCTTAATCCGTAAATAAACACGTCAAACACAGATTTTTTTATAATGAGAAACATTAAGAGAAATATTCTCTAAATACAGACTTTTAACTTGTGATAAATAGTATTTATATTTAAAATATATCGTAGTTTATATAATTGATTATATATATTATTATTATTATATACTAGCTCCAACGACACCTGACTGATATACATTTTAAAAGCGTAGAAGAAGTCCGAAAATGCATCGACGATTTCATCGACTTAAAGTCGTCATCTTTTTCTCGAGAGGGAATTCGTCCGATAGACGGAGAAAAATATCACAAAATAACGGTGAATTTACTATCTACTTGTTCCAATAGATTCCAATAAAATATTTCCGACATTGACATATTTATCATTTTCTTGCAAATAAAGACTCAGTTTCTTTAAAAAGGCACTGAGTTAATTTGCGTACCTAATTTATTAAAGTTATACTTAAGGCTTTACCCAACTTTTAAAATTACACGCGTACTTAATCTCGTAACTATTCACGTTATAAGTTAGTGTATACTTTCCTTGTTACGAAATCCACATCGCAATTGTAGCCCATATTACAATTGTGTACTAAAGCTTCTTTGTCGTCTTCCTGCAGGTCGTTCGTGGAACTCGAGGATGCGGTGGCGGATGGGGCGGAGTCGAGGGCGCCGCGTTTGACGAAGTCACCCAGCCAAAAACGACGGTCTTCGTCGTCGTCGTGGTCCAACAGCCTTGAATTCGTCGTCCAGACCATCATTAGAGCGATCACCAAGAGCGGCACACCACGTGAGCACAAGAATCGGCGCCGTATCGCTTCCATGGACCTGACGGAGGCTTTCGCGCCGGGAGGTGGCGGCGAGGACCTGCCGAAGACCGATTTCTTCGACTTCGTAGTGTCGCCGCCGCCGCATTGCACCTCTGCCGACGGCGTCTCCGACGAGGAGAGCTTCCTGCACCGCGGCGGCTGTCGCAGCATGGGTTACCTTCAACAGAGCCACGAGGACCACGAGAATCCGCGCGCCGAGCTGCACGGCTCGCCGTTCCTCAAGGAGACCAACAACAACACGCTGACGGCGTTACCACCCGTCTCGACCATCACCGGCTCGTTGAGCCATCATCAGCACCACCATCACGCTCATCACCAGGTCGGCCGTTCGCAGCATGGGGGCGTGCAACAGTCCAACGATGCCACCGCCATGGACCAGTCCGAGTGCGACTATTGGGGCACGGCTGAGGACGAGGGCAAGGAACAAACATGCAACATCCTGTTGGAGGACCTCAACAGGAGCTACTGGTCGTCGAACGCGCACACCAACGACACCGGTGTCATTCACCAGGCTGGGCCCAACGACCATCACCAGGCGGTGGGCGGTCGTGGCTGCAATGCCAACGACCGGCAGAACACTGACGGTGCAATCTATACGCTGACGGTGCTCAACAACGAGGCCAACTCGATGGACGGTTTAGACTGCTGCAAGAGCCCGGCGCCCGCCTCCGGCGATTCCTGGTCCCTCCGGCCGAACCTTGACCTGGACGCTATTCTCAGCATGGAGCCGTCTTCCGGGGACCCAGATCATGAGCAGCAGATCGCCAGCGATGTTAGCAGGAGCGTGAACGAGAGGTTTCATCCGGACCGCTTCACCGTGCCGACGTCGCAATACACTACTGACGACAGTGGCTTCGTCGAGAGCAAAGAATTGTGCGCACGAGCGTCCTCGGCCAATTGTTCCGGCGACAACAATAACGACTGGAAACTGTCGGATCAGAACCTCCAAGAGGTCGCTGCTGCGGCCGCGGCCGCGGTCGCCGTCGGCGCCGGTGATTCTGCCGAGAGTCTGCTGCGAAGCGCTCTTCAAGGTAAACTGTACACCGGACCGACTCAGTCGGTCCCCTCGCCTTCGCCATCCTCACAAGCGTCCACCATCTCGATGCCAGTCTCGGGTAGCAGCGGTCTCTTGGTGTCCGATCAACAGCAGCAGCAGCAACAACAACAGCAACAGCAACAACAGCAACAAGAGGACTCCATGCACGCGTGCACCGACGAGGATCTTCTGCTGTCGCAGTTGGATCAGACGACTTATCGACCGGGCGATTACGAGAAGTTGAAGAGCATCGCTAACGAGGTGGTGGAGTCGTACTGCAGCTTAGAGCCGGTTTGCAACGTGTCGGCCACCACCACGGTGATGTACACCTTGGACCCAGCAAGCGGCAGCTTGGGCACCATTACGTTGCCGGCTGACCTGGGTCAAGTCAGCACCGTCACAGTGGTCACGGCCGCTCAACAGGACGTCCTTCAGCAACAGACCGCTCAGCGAGCTGAGGTGGAGCAGCAGCAGCAGCAGCAGCAGCAACAGCAGCAGCAGCAGCAGCAGCAGCAGCAACAACAGTCGAATCAGCTGCAGCTCACCTCGGCTCGCGTCGGTGTCACCTCCAAGCCGGCGAAGAAGTACTGCAGGCGCGGCAATCGCAACAGCAACAACGCCAACGGCGCCAGCAACGGCAGTGCTGGCGCCGAGGCCGGCGGCAACGCCGGTGGCCAACAGCAGGCCGGCTCCGGCGGCTCGCCAGGTAGTGTTCAGCGCAAGGAACGCTCCCTGCACTACTGCAGCATCTGCAGCAAGGGCTTCAAGGACAAGTACAGCGTGAACGTGCATATCAGGACGCACACCGGCGAGAAGCCGTTCGCCTGCTCGCTGTGCGGCAAGAGCTTCCGTCAAAAGGCCCACTTGGCTAAGCACTATCAGACTCACGTCACTCAGAAGCCCAGTATCCAGCAGACTTCCAGTGGCGGCGGCGGCGGCGGCAGCGGCGGTGGGAGCGCAGGTACCGGCGGGAACAACGGCAACGTCAGCCCCACGGCGGACAGCAATGTCGCCACTTCCGCGTCCTCCGCTATCGCCAGCAGGAGTCAAGTGGACCCCACGGGAACCGCTTGCAACCCTCCCAGTTAGTTGGCCGATCGACGACGGGCGCGAACGATCGTCCCTCTTCTCGTCGACGACTTCATAGATGTCTTTCTTTTTATCTACTTATTTCTTTCTTTGTATTTTTTATTTCTCATTTTTTTCTTCTCTCATATGGAAAGGATGGCAGCCGTGGCTGGTTTCTTTCCTCGCCCTCCATTCTTTTCATTCTTTCTCTCATTTTCCTCTTTTTTTTGTACGAATATACGCGTGGCGTGGTATGAAACACTACGACGATGATTTCCATGACGGAAACGCCGAGTTTCTTGTTTTCTTTGCGAGAAAGAGCGAACCATGACGAGCGGTAGGATAGACGCGTCGTGTGTACCGGGTGTCGCTGAACGGACTCTCGCGAGGAGAAGCTCGAGGAGTAGATTTTTCGGGGAGCCGTCGAATTCACAGACGAGTTCCGAGTCATCGTGCGGTTCGAATTAAGCTACTTGAGTCGGAGTTACTTTTGACTTGACTGATCTTAAGTTGACTCGAGATACTTGACCCGAGTCAACTCGTGTGTTTAATGAGCTCGAGTCGTCGCTCGATTTAGCGCGACTAACTCGTTGATTAACAAGTCCGACGGAACTCGGATTCTTGCCGAAAAGAAATACCAATTCCGCATTATATTTGTAGGATAGCGGTCATTCTCCGAGACACCTTGTACATCGATGGAAAAACGATGTAGCGAGAAAGCACGACCCCAAAGGTCGATTGAAATGCTAATTGAAAGCCCCGACCTTTGTTTCCGAGATTTTCTATCCTAACGGCGGCAGTCTGCCGCCGCGCTTTTTGTATTAATTATTAATTATTTACGGACAAGGAGCTCAAGTCGCTCCCCCTACTAACATGACACCCGTGAAATTATTGTTCCTACCATGATTCAATTACCGCTAATGACATTGACGACGAGGACTACGACAATGACGACGAGAGGCGGACAGAATGACGAGTGTTTATAGGCTAATTACGACAATTAACGATATTTAATAGCTACGAGATATATATTAACGTTGAAGATGTGTTATAAAAAATAAATCTTTTATATATATATTATAATATAATATTATATATGCGCACGGAGTGTCCCCCACGAAACCGCCGGAGACAGCTTCTGCGGCCGCTTTGAGGGCGATTTTTCCATGGCGAAAATATGGAGGGATTTTTGGAAAGAATTTAGAACTTTTTTGCAAACATTTTCGCACCAGAGTTTCTCTCTTCGGAGGCTCTTAGTTTGCCGGACGATCGTCTCTAGCCTCGACGTTTTCACGAAGGAAAAGTCGATCCTAAGTCGACCGAGGAACTCGCAATGAGGTAGAAAGAGAGAAAGAGACAGATATATCCGGTAATTTTCCGGGGCATGCCGTGTCAGGAGAGACGCAGATAGATAGATTAGGGAGTGTAACTTAGAGCGATAAGTGCAGAGTATCGAGAGGAATACCCGTTAATAAGTAATTAGTAGCATGAGCTGTGATTTAGGTACATACTCAACGAGCGGTTAGAGCGAAGCAAACGTAACGAGAATGTAGTGCGCTATTCTCCCATTGGTACTCTCATACGTATGGTTACTATTTTTTCTTCCTTTTCTTTTTAACCTCTCCCCTCTTATCTCTCTCTTTCGCGCGCGAAAGCGCGCGGCAGCGGCTGGAGAAGCAATCAATCGCGACGATAATTGTTCCCGATCACTTCTAACTGGTAAAACGCTGCGAATCGAGCGGCGCCGCACCGTGTGTGCGAGCATCGACGGCCGGAAGAATCGCGTCGCTCTCATCTCATCGTGTCCCACCTTTTCACACGATTCCGCCCGCGAGCCGCTCGCGGAACACGAGGGTTTTCCCCGAGGCGCCGAAGGGCTTCTTCTCCTCACTGCCTTCGCGTGAACGGTGCGATTGTCGATCGAATGCACGGAATCGATCGATCTCGTCGACAATTGCGTCCGCAAGCGCGACGTTCGTTCACTGCCGTCGTTACCCCGACTACCTTAAGCTCTGCCTACCCGAAGCTCGTCGCGATTCTTCCGGTCTTCTTCTTCCCTTCAGTCGCAGCGCGACCGCGCGTACACCGGTCTGTCCGGCGAGCGCGGCGATCCGCAGGTGGAAACGCGCGCGGATTCCAGCACAGCCTTGCGGAGTGCATACGCGTGCTACATTTTCCGGGGGCCGCGCGACCCCCGTAATAACGTCGAGCGCGGAGGTCAGAGTTTCCGAGAGGGAGCAAGGGAGGAAGGGGGAGGGGAGCCCTCGAGCTATTGCGAGGTCCGCCGGCCCGGGTAATTACACGTTGCGTCTATATTGCGTTACGTGCATACATCGCATGCATACGCCGCGCGGTGCACGTGCATACGAGCGCATCGAGGCGAGCGCATCGGCGGCGCGTCGCGTCGCGTCGCGCAGCGCAGATGGCGATAAATCCGCGGCAAATTTATCGATCGCGTTTCGTTCGCGAGCCGTTATCGGCATTATTAATTGCTCGCGCGACGTGGAGGAGGTGGTTAGCGAGAGCCCTCGAGACGCGGCGCGTGTCTGAAAAACGCGACATCCGACTCTTTTATCCGAACGACCCAGTTCTGTTCTCGCGAGATTTCCAAACTTGTGCGTCGCTCTTATCCGTAGAAAGTCATCCGAGTCGCTCGAGGAGAACGGGATCCTCCGCCGCGGAGTTTCGAGTTCGAGCTGAAATTTCTCACGCCACTCACATAGTAAGGGTTGGCGAAGTGTGATCGCGCGCGCGGGCGCGATCTTCGATCGAATGCTTTCCTTCGTGAGCGTTCGTTAAGAAAATCCGAAGGATTTAGAAAGTTATATCGCGTGATGTGCCGCCGGTCGCCTCCCTTGCCGAACTCCGCCGATTCGTCCAATTTGCGTAATTAGTCACGTACGCGCGCAACGTAATCGAGACTATTCTTCCGCCGCATCAGTACGCCAATATTCAATCGACGACGCGGGCAGCGGCCAAGTGGACTCGCGGGGATACGCATCGTCAGGCGCCTCTCGAAAAAAGAGAGAGAGAGAGAGAGAAGTAATGACGAATAATGCTTCTCATTCTTTCTCTGACTATATTGGATTGGAATGCGCGCATACAAAGTAGGCGCTCGAAGAAAGAGGAATTGCGAAATGACGTTATTCGTTATTCGGACGCAATTAGCCGATTTGGACTGGAAGAAGAGGCGCGGAGAAATTGCAAAAGATTAACATCTTGCATCCTAATTAAAGCAGATATAAGCAATAAGCGGATTATAGTGATTATAGTCTGCTGTCTAATTTCAATGAATTTATCGTGCCGATCGTATCTCGCCGCTTCGTGCTTTGGAATGCTAATTACATGCGGGTAAAAATCCATAAAGGAAGCCCAAGACTGCAAGACACGATTTCTACATTCAAACATTGTGAATATAAAATTACATATTGTATTTGTTGATGAGACTTCATGATTCAGGGCCCAACCATACCGCCATTAATCGTTACGCTGTAGCGTTTATTTATTTTCGAAATTAATTTTCAATTATTCGCTCCTCATTACGTTGCGTGATGCATGAAGGTAAAAGCCTTCTTCTTCTTCCTCCTTATGACCTGGTGAGATATACCATTGGCCAAACATCGAATAAGGTTCATGAAGCTCCGAAAAAGAGAAATGTAATTCCAAAAATTAGATCCTTAAATTATTCTTCTTGACAAAGCTCTCCAAAATTTTGTAGGCTTCAATTCTCTTTAAAATCTGTATCAATGATAGAGGTAAAAATCTCTTTCCACGAATTGCGCGTTTTATCGTGATTCTCGCAATTTTTATATTTATGTTTATAAGCTCTCCAAAATTTTGTAGGCTTCAATTTTCTTTAAAATCTGTATCAATAATAGAGGTAAAAATCTCTTTCCACGAATTGCGCATTTTTATCGTGATTCTCGCAATTTTTATGTTTCAAATAAACAATTTTACTGTTTCCATCTCACAGAAATCATTTAATTACTAGATAAGACTAAGATAAATTTATAAAATATAAGGAGCAATAAATTTTTTTATCTATTTATATCTATCTATATACATTATTTCTATGGGATCAAACTTGTGCGCGCGCGATGATTCAATTTATATTAAAATTTAGACGTTTTCGTCTTTGGTGTTGATGCACTGAGAGGAGAAATATCTAAAAAATACACTGAGAGGAAAAATTACTGGAAAGTTTATTCATGGGATGTAAAGTTTATTTCCCTCTTTGAAGAAACTTTATATCCTGGAAGTAAATATTCTAGTGTTATAAAACATGGAAAACAACGACTAATAACGAAATAAATATTCTAGTATTATAAAACATGGAAAGCAACGATTTTAAGAAAACGTATATATTTCTTTATTTGAAGGAAATATCTTCTCGATGTACAAACATGGATATTAATGAATATGCTACTAGTGTCCGCCTAACAAACGTTTTCTTTTTTTTTAGATATTTTTCTCTCAGCGCAACCGCGACACGTCGCCGTAATTCACTTGTAATCACCGCCACTAGTCAAAGTAAAGCCGATCTCTCGCAACAAGGGGAGTTCAATTAGAGAATGGGACGAACCAGGCCGCGCGCGCTGGATCACGATCGACGATAGGAAAGGGGCCTTCGCTCCTTCGCTCGCCACTTGCCACGTTTGTAGGGCACCTCGATATAAGGGCGTTATTACGGCACTGCGTCTCGTCTAGGATACTTAAAGACATCGCGATGATGAGAACGACCTTATAAGGGGTGTTTAAAGCTACCGCCGGTCGTCGACAGATCGACGACGTCGACGGCTTTCACCAATCTTGTCGAATCGGATTCTCTCGCCGACCCGCCCGACTTCTAATCAGCCGAGGAATTGGCCGCCGCCGATCGATCCTCGGCCTCGCGATCGTGAAAGGAAAGCGGCATTATCATCATCATCGTCATCATCGTCATCATCATCTTCGTCTTCGGATCCTTGGATCGCGTGTCATCCAAGGATGCGAGTACTTTCCAGTCAACGTGTCGACCCGCGGAATTAAACGCCTGTGCTGACAAACTCGCATAATGCATAAGATAATAAATCATTCATAATTTTTGCAACATAAAAGGATGTTTCTTACATTAGACATATCATTGACTAATCTTGTGCATAGGTAAAAAAAAAACACTGTTGAATTGAGAGAATATTGCTCAACAGCGCCGGAGTAAATCTTCTTGACTCAATGGCAGTACCATTAAAACTGATACTTCAGTATTAGTTATAAACAATGTATAATGCATTAGTTTCAATAATATTGTTATTGAGTCGAAAAGATCTACATGGAAAGAATTTCTACGTGGAAATACATGAAAAGAATTTTATGGAAATTACTGGATATTAGTATGGATTTGGTAATGGAGGAATAGATCAATATTCTGTATTAATTGACTATTTTTCATCTCGAAATCAGATAAAGAATTCACGCGGCTCAAACCAAATGAGAGACTAAATCTAATATTCATGTAGCGAAAGCCTGAAGTATCAAATATTTAAAAATATTTCTGACGAAATTTACTACGTTCCTTTTGCGAGATAAACTTACTGAAAATCCATTCCTGCACTACCAGAAATATAGTAAAATTGAAAAGAATTGATATTAAAAGAAAGTAACAATTCTATCGATATAATACGATTTTTTGTATACTTTGTGCGACAATGCAAATTTGTCTGGATAGGTTTTTACAAACTCGAAGGATTTCGGGAGAATTTCACGTTCACGGTTCCTGTAAATCGAACGAATACTCAAAGGATTTGTTTTTCTCAATGTTTGTTCCTCCTCGATCTATATCATTCGATGCCGCTCTCCACGCGATTTTCTTGTTCTAATTCGAAAGAATCGTTGCGAATTATCCCCCGTGGCTCTCGAAAGAAACCAAGATCTCACGTCGTTCGAATTTGATGACGCGCGGATAATTTTCGTGATTAGAGCTCGGGCGAGCTCACTTTTAACGGGTTGCGCAGCCTGTTCACCTTCTGAAGGTAGGACGGAGGTGTGGCGCACCTCGTCCTACAACAATGATCTCCATAGATGGAAGATTGCGCGAAAAGAGCAACGCAAAGGTCGCCATGAACGAATCGCGTGCGGCGAACGCAGAGGAAAACGAATTATCGATAGGAAAAGTCACGACGCGAGAACAATCATACGTGACAATTCAAGCACTGAGAAAGAGATTTCGTCGCGGAAGCAACGATAGTCCGAGTATTTCAATGCGAGGGGGAGTTCTCATTTCTATCTTCCCTCATAAGCGTAGCTTCTCTGATCTGCAAAAAGTGGAAGACTGCACATGTAACAGCACGATAATCCAAAATTATCGATACTTCTCTTTTGACAAAATTATCGACTTCTCACTTTTAATCAAATGCAATTTTTCTCCGCGCAGCTCACTTGCAATCGATTGAGATCAAGCTTTGTCAGAAGTTTGACTTTTCCCGCTGTGAAGGTCTACTTTTATTTTTAAATAATCGCGATATCCGCCTGACGATGTGTCGAAACCGACGGTCGCTTCGTCCTTCCCAGAAGCGCGAAATAAAAAAAATAAGATAAAAAACGAATGAAAAGAATACTCATCGGAGTCCTCGGATCCTTGGGATCCGACGGCATCCACGGATCGCTGATCTTTCCTTACGTTCGCGAGACACGCGCGTTCTCAAGTTAATGTTACTTTCTTCTCAGCCTACTTTGCCTAGCGTGTACTAAAGCTAATCTTAGAGGTAATGGTGGCTGTCTAGCCCGTTAAGGATACGAATCCGAATTCCGAGGTTACCATGGTAACGAGATGTAAATGTGTAAGAGAGATGTCTTTTTCTTTATTTACTTTCTTTCTTTCTTTTTTTTTTTTTTTTAATGAACATTGCGACGCAATAATACTCAAGGCGGTCTCGAGAGCCGCGCATGAAACAACGGATAGACATACCGGTGAAGTGAAATGAATTTGGCACACTTGTGACTGTAAATGCGACCGCGAACTCGGTCGTGAATTAAAGCCGGAAGCCAAACGGCTCCATCTGTCTCCGCATGCGCGCGGAGAATGCGAAATTTTTGTATCCTTGGAGAAGCTGAAAAGATATATGGTGTATACCTATACAAAGTGACCTAGCATTAATAAAGAGTATCTCAACGATGGACTTTCTGAGAAACACTTCTGAGAGATCGCTTTTCCTGATGAAAATTTAACGGGATTTAAAAAAAAATTTTTTTACTTATATTACTTCTACAAACGCCCAATAAAATATTAAATAATTTAGATAATATTTATCTAATGTGTGTATTTATACTTATTAAATAACTTAAGTAATATTTATATTAAAGAATATATTTATCGATGAAAATCACGAATATACATGCAAAATTTTAGTTGAAATTTTCTGTATAGAATCCGTCGTTAAGATATTCCTGCACGATATGCGGGGACACTCTGTATATGTAACGTGCGCGTCGGCCTACCCAGTACAAAAGCAGATCGTTATTATGATATTTTTATTATGTCACGGATTATTGTGTTATGTGAATAATTACATTTTATGTTGTTAACGAAGTCGTAATATATATATATATATATATATATATATATATATATATATATATATAAATAAATATAAATATAATACATGTTTCTATACGTATATATAGATACGCAAATATATATATATATATATGGATTTATATATATGTACATGTATATGTTATGTATACACACACACTAGCAACGTACCCATACGTGCGTTAACAACGTTTGTGTCGATATTGACAATCGTATCGCTCTCTTCTTTCTCTTTTTTTATACGAACTTCCCCGACCCTTTAGTGTAAGGCTCCTTGCGTTTATTTTTCTTTTTTTTTAGCAATAGAAACGATTATCCGAGTTTCTCACCCTCCTAATAGCTCCGCTTCAGCAGTCGCGAGGATCGTCGAACGATCTACTAAGATGATCCGCGAGAAACAATTCTCATCGAGGAGATAAATCTTCCTTCTTTCTGCCGAGTGCAATATATACACATATATACATGCATAACGTACGAAATTGCCAGCTAACTTATTGTGTCAACGAGAATATAATTTAATTGAATAAATACGAGATGATGTTTATATATATATATATATATATATATATATATATATATATATATATATATCACATATATGTGTGTGTGCACATATTATTGTATCGAGTTAAGCGTTTGTATTGTTTCTTTCTTTTTTTTTCAATTGTTTCGTTGGAAATCGCGATTCGTCGAGGAATTTTGCGAGTGGCGCCGATAATTATCGGGATATTGTATATAATTGAACTATAAACGGTTCGAAAATAAGCGAGGACCCCGCGTTCCCTCCAAGATCCTTCGAACCTCTAATTATCTCGATCGATTATAAATTAATTAGTATCGACTCGACCTTGGTATAATCGTCGTTCTTCTTAGTTTAATTTTTAGTACATTAGATAAATTCCGAGAAGCATTGTGTATATATATATATATATATACACACAAGAAAAAGATGTCCCCCTGAACGATCCTTCGGTAGGATACTCTTTGCTATTGCTCACGAGTGTACAATAATTCGAATAACACACATTGAATGGCGGACCAGCCGGCACAGCAATTTAGAGATTTAGACGAAACGACGAAGAAATGTACCTATTATTTTTGTACTTAGTTTTAATAAAGGTTTATATGCTTTTTTATAAAAAGAAAGAGGAACTGACTAAGATGTGGCCAATACTTATATAACTCTATCAGAGATTTCATTAAATTTTAACCAAATCATCGTCGAAAACCTAAAATTTCATCTATTAAGATATTAATATAATGAAATATCTTCGGGGCGTTGAATGCGTTATTACCAAATTTCTGTGGACAAATAGGCAGATAATAATCAACTAATTTCATGATATTGCTGAACGAGAAAAGTGAACTCTCAAAATGATATAATTTTAATAAAACTAAGATAATTGAGAAAAGGGAATCAATAATTGAAGATTCATTTTTAATCACTAGGAACTTTTTTATTACTTTTTTGTTTTAATAACCGCGTCATTGTGGTTGACAGATGATGGAAAAAATCCAGAGATTTTTAAATAATGTAACAGAACGCAACATTTCGCGAATATCATGATTACTTTCGGGAATCGATGCCGTAGAAAGATAGAGACAGAGAAGTGATTCCTTGACGTAAGATTAAATAATATAGTTTTTATTTGTAACATCGTGTGTATACAAATGCTCCGTAAATTTGCGTGTAAAGTCATTATGTTTCTTCCTTAGACGATATATGTTAACAAACCGTGTGTCTCCGATGGTTTTGTTTCTTCTTTTACTTTTTTCTTCTCTTCAAAAAGCTAAATACAAAATATCTCTCGGATTTTCCTGCTAATTCAACATTAGATTATCCGCGCGCTTGAAAAAATATCCATTTGTAAAATCGAGAGTCGCGAGGAATTTCCTTTTTCGAATATCTGTCATATACAGGGTGAGTAATAGAGTTAGAAATAGAATATTTAAATGCTGCTTTAAATTCGAACATGTAGAAAGGACATATAGAGAACATAATTTAGAAGATTCCGATTTTTCGCGAAGACTTTGGATACAGATTATTTGCAATGTTTACCAATTCCTCTTCAACCATCATGACTCGGTTGTAATTGTTTACAATAAATTTTACTCGCTTATATCTTAGATAAATTTTTCGTAATTTTTTAACTTTAATTTTTTGTGATCATCTTCAAGAGAAGACGAAAAGCGTTTAATATTCCTCGAGACTCCGATCGGGCTTGCCTTCTAAGCAGACTGAATCCGAATGCGCTCAGAACGGTTTGCTCGCTAATTAGGTTTGCGTACAAGTGAGAAGTATCGTTTGTATACAGTGTAAAGTACGTGTAGTAGTATTGTCGGCGGACGGGTCTCGTCGCGAATCGTTGAAGATACTTAAACTCGTTTGGCAGCTCCGATTTAAGTCGATTCAGGACACCGATAATTCACGATAAAATTCCGAGGCGCCGGGGGAAAAAGGTAACAGATACATGCAAAAACAAACTCGTGTAATTCGTCTACGTGATCTCTAAACTCACTTGATGCAGTGACTATTTAGTTACTCAAATTGAGGAGAAAAACGATTAGAAATTGCACATTGTACAGTCATGAAAATAATCAGAAATCGCGTCGCGAGTTTCACCGCAATTTTATCGCTGCTGCTTCCATTGTTAAAAATAATTCATAATTATCGAAATACTTTGTTCCAGTGAATGCCGCGTGTATAAACAAGTAATAAGCTCCGAATTCAAGCCTGGCGCATAATATTTTATTATATTTACATCACAATTGTATTATAGAAAGAGATAGATAGATAGAGAGAGAGAGAAAAGTCGAAGGCGATTTTATTATTGGAGAAATGGTCTCCTTTCGAGCGATCGTCGTCGAGAAAAACGATATAAAAGTCGCGAGGTGCACTTTCCGCTTCTAAAGATGTCCTGAACGTGCCCGGAGAAAGATCCTGCGAGAGTATAGGGCGTGGGAATGCCGTGTGAGAAAAATATATGTATATTTTATTCGATAGGATAGAATAGTACTTGGACGATCGTGCTCGTCTCGCGGCCGAGGTCTCGATCCGCGGTGTCGGCGACTCGCGTGCACAGATACGTCGTTTGGCCCTCTATTAGCGATTGCAGCGGATGAACGGTGATATAGCGCGACGCGTTATCAGCAGTAGGAGCGCGCGATGGACGGGGCGCGTTTCGCAGCGTGCGACGGGCTCTAAGAGAGCAGCTTGTCCTCGGGAATGGTCGGGCTGGTGGCTGTCGGAGCTGCAGATGCGCGCCTCATCGCCTCGGACTCCCGAAGGGCCTCGTCGAAGCTCTGCGTCGAGTTGGACCTTGAAGGCACGACTTTTGTCTGCAAGAAGAAGAACCTCTGAGTGAAATCCGGCGGGACTGAAGTGAAGAACAATCGGAGATTCCAAGCGAAACGCGCGAGTCTAACATATCTCTGATTAATTGCAAGTTTATCCATCTTGCTAGACTCTATCGTGTAAGAATATCGATTGTATTTTCTTAATTTCGTATAAAATTTTCTTGGGAATTTTAGTTTGGTCAGGTTGCCTCTCATTTCGCCGTCTTTAATCTGGTCGTCTCAAATTTAAATTTCCTCAAACATCAGTCACCTTGACATTTTCGTAAGCTGACCCGACCCTCTCCTCCAAGGATCGGAAGCTGTCGGAGTTGCGCATCTGGCCCAACTTCATGGAAATTCCGCTACCAAAGCCACCCAGGATACTCGACGTTTTCTCAGCCGTGGTCTTGAAGACGGACTCTGTCTTTTGAAATCTGACATGATAAAAAGTGAGCGTTCGTTAGTCTGATAAGATTCATCGATCACTTCAATTGTGATCAATCACCTCCGCGTAGGTAACCGACTGTGCTTGTTAAGAGAGTCGATTTTGTTAACTTTTAGTCGGCATTCCAGTACAAAGCTGATAGATGTTAGAGGTGAGATATATTAGTGCTCTTTTAGTGCGACTCAACTTAGATTTCGTCAAGTAAACGCTGCTGTCAACAACAACGGACAAAATGTTGGACTGCGTACTTACAAAGTGTTCTCGGAGACTGCCTTGGTAAACTGACCGAGTTTCTCGCCGACGTTCTGATAACTGAATGAGAACCCAACCAAAAGTCAAAGAAATCAATGCTTCTACGTGTCTGAAGGGCAGAAGAAGTGGAGTATCAACAAAAAAAGGCGATCATCGTCTGTCGATTCGCAGAAATGGAAGCGAAAAGCCCACGAGACATGTAAACGAAAATCATGAGAGAAAGAAAGCGAGAAGAATCGGAGAATGTGATGAATGCATCTTTTCCTTTTTCTTCTATTTTTGAAAATCAGCCAATCCTCTGATTACGCCATCGTTCGTGCTTTCTTGAAAAGCATGACAAGACGATCTGCGAGCTCGAAGGATCGCGCTCGGCCGATCGCTTATTCAACAACCCTATTACAATTTCCTATCCACTTCCTCTTTAGATAGAGATTACAGTGACATATAGAGTATGTATAGAGTGTCTGTGGAGAGTGTGGAAAAGACATGCAGAGGAAGCGGCCACGACCGACGGAATACGTACACGTGACTCTCCTTGACGTTCTTGAGGCCCTGATTGACGTCATCGGTGAGCTCCTTCCACACGCTAATGCCCAGCTTCCTCTTCAGCTCCTGCGCGACCCTGACCTTGCTGGCGAGGACGTGTCTCAGGGTCTGTATCTCCTCCTCCACCTGCGATACAACTGTTATTCCCTGGCCCCGGATCTTTCTCACTCTCTCGCTCTTCCGATTGATCCGATTGAGGACTCACCTTCGCCAGCTCGGCGCTCCATTCGGCCTTCTGGCGTTCTTGCTCCTCCAAGGACAGACCTTGCAGCTCATTCGCCACGTTATCCGATGTAGGTGACAAGGAGCCGGTCGAGTGGAGCGAGGCGTCCTCTCCTGGGACAAAAGGCGACGGAAATTAGCCGCGGTGTGCGCGACACCAGGCCGAAATTAAGCGCGGCGGCTGCTCGGGAATACCAGTTCTCAAGTATATATTATCATGTACTCGAGCATATATTATCATGCGCGATATAAACAAATATAAATATTCATCGGGAACGAAAATTAGAAATTCCGATAAAGGAAGTTGAAGTAAGATACGACTGGACAGTGTTGGAGAAATATTTCAACACGCGTGCGTTACGCGATGACTTATGCTGCGTTCACTGCTAAATTAATCTGCCTGTGCAATAAGGCTAAAGTAATAGCCGCTGAGCTTGCCGGGAGACATGGCAAAACCAGTTGTGGATGCATATCGGAGAAACCAAGCAGCTCCGGATTGCATAAGCGCGAGTTCTTTCAGATTCATTGTTCTACGTGTCGCGTTCAAAGTCAAAGAAATTATTCCGGAAGAAAATTCAGGCATTCGAAAGGGTCAGGAGATAAAATTCTAATCTTTAAGTTTTTTCGAGTGAAATTTCACTGGAAAAATAGAATGAGAGTTTAAAAGTGATTTTTCGCTCGTGCAAGGTGGATCGTCGGGCGAGCAATTCCATTCTGAATTGGAAAGTCTGATTGTACAGCACCGTCACACTCTGGGATAACTTCCTTCGGATCGATTTATTGCGTGCGTTTATGTCCGCGCGAAAATGTGAATACTCAAGTCGAAAACGAAGGAATGCGGCCGATTACAAACGCGAGCGCTTGCAGGTAGCGATTGCGTAAATTTCCAGCCAAGAGTTCCGATTGTTTCGCCGATTTCGCAAGATTGCGAAGGAACGCGCGGAGTTTCGCTGTTTCAGCGGAGCGAAACGTCGTCCTAGAAAAATTAAAAGCTAAGCTCGCCAGTCGCTGTACTCGCGATTTGTACGATCTTCTTTTTGTTCGTGCACTTTCACGCGTAAGAAGAGAAATGAATAGACGCCGAGAAATTGTCGGGTGTAAAAACGCAGGAATTTCTCACGTGAAAGTCGAGGATTATTATACTGAGAATCATTAAATCTTTCGCAGATCTCAAGTTCTACAAAATCGGGGTCTATAAAGTTGTAGAGAGATCCAAAGATTTAGAAATAAAATAAAACAGAATATTTGAGAGACTCTTGCTTTACAAAAAGTTCTACAAAATCGGGATTTACAAAGCTGTAGAGAGATCTAAAGATTTAGAAATAAAATAAAACAGAATATTTGAGATCTTGTTGGGAACCATGTTTGACAATATATCCCTGATCTTAAATTCCTATAAATGAAACAATAATTTTTTCATTTGTTAATAAGTCAAAGTGAGTCCGCACGAAAGTCAACGGAACGATAAAATCCACCTAATTTCAACCTTAAAAAATATTTAAATTCGCCAAAATCCAAAATCGCGACGCGAAGAAATTGCTGAGAGTGCGATCTTTCCTTCTTTCCCCCGCAGCACCTTTTACCAGCTCGAGGAACTTCTTGTAATTCTGGCTGTTGCTGATCTTAGCGAGATAGGGCTTGGACAGATCCTGGAAAATCACGCGCACCGACCGCCGTTTCCTGCGACCGCCTCCGCTACCACAATCACGTGACCCTGACCCTTCCGGCACGAACTCTGTTTCTATGGTTAGATTGCCGTCGTCCACGACGATCTCGTCGATCTCGCCGTTAGAATCGCGCCAGCAGTGCACCACCAGTTCGTCCACGCCGTCGCCAACCTCATCGATGTCGTCGAAGCTCGGCGTGGTCGTCAACTTGGAGTAATAGACATCCTCCTCGTACTCGAGCGACTCGAACTCACGCTCGTTCTCGCTCGGGCAGTCCTCGTCGCCGTGCTCTTGACAGGTTCTCCTGCGCGATTGACCCGTTCTCGAGTTCTCAGGCTGCTTCTGGTCTGCCATGTTGCTTCTCATGGTCTTGCTGCGGAGGATGCGAGCGATCGCCTCGAGATTTCGCATCGAGATTTTGACCCGGGAAGTGGACGGGGCAGGCAGTGAATGTCGTCGCGTTGATTTCGAAGTGTTCCTCGAGTAGCAAAGGTAAACAAGTACGTGTGGACCGACAATTTCTGCTCTGGTTCTTCGCCTTTCACTCTCTCGTTGGATCTTTTTCTTTTACTTTGATTAATCGTTTGTCATCATCTATCATCTTACACGAGGTTTTAGAGATTCCAATTCGATTTCTCACATTACTTTTCTATTTATTTATACATTTCATTAAAGAAGTTCCAGCATATATGAAAAAATTAATGGTGAACACAAATAAGAATTAGAAATTAATTCTCATTAAGGTAAAATTTCTGGCTTCCGTAAAGAGACGCACTTTGTTACCTTGTTTGTAATAAAGTCATAATAAAGTAAAAATCATCTAAGTTATTCTCTGTAACAAATTACAACTGAGAAAAAACAAGATCTAGCTGCGAGTCATACGTCACAGAGTGAGCAGTTTAACCGCAATCCGGACGCATCCGGAGGAATTGGTTATCAGGAATCAAGAGCTAAAAGTCCGCCGGGATCTCGACGGAAAAATCTGCAGGTGAGAAAACACAGCGCACGTCATCATTTATCACAATCAGACAAGCACCAGTGTTTATCTATAATTAAGAATCGCATCACACACACACATGAGTGAAAAATGTTGACTCGAAAATCCGCGCGGCCGGATCTGCCTTCGCGACTTTATAATCCGATCTGATTTTTCACTCGTGCATTTCAATTTGTGCATAAAAAGCGACCACGTGTACCGCGCGCGACGCGTGCATACGCGACTAACAGCTGTGCTCGATCGCGATCGCCACGTTTCGGGGAGAGGAGAAATCGAGTGAACGGAAAATTAAGACGCTTAGGGGGGAGGACGAGGAAGGAAGAGAAAGGGGAGAAGAGCGTGTGGCCTCGGTTCTCCTCGAGAGATAGAGGAGGAGGTTCTAGTAGCGGCTTCCAGGTAAACCTATGGCTCTCGAAATCACGAGCATAGGGAAGATTCACTGATAATTAAACAAAACAATAAAACAATAAATATGAGTGAATAATTTTATTGGATTTTAGTATATTTTTTATCTTTCAATCATCATATTAGATTTTTTTACTTATTGTTACTTATTTTTACTTACAGTTACTTATTGTTGACATGATTATATTATGTAAAAAGAAATTGAATGTAGTAAAATAAGTAATAGAAATTGAAATTTTAACATTGAATTGCTTCTCAATACTGCTGAAGCAACTATTATTTGAAACTGTAACACCCTTTAATGTGTCAATATAGTTTTTTGGTGGTATATTAACGTGCGATTGCACTGACGAACTTCTTGTAATTAGCATACCAGTTAAGAGACTCTCGCTAACAATTCTTGCAAACACTTTGAGCTCAATTACTGCTCTGCATATATATAAGGTGGTCTTGGAATTACCGTCTCTCTATACGCTCATTCGCGATTTACATCGCATGTTACTTTTATTCGCTTTTAATTCGGTGTTACGGTGATCAACATAGAATAGAAAAAGTGGGCTACGTAAAAGAAAGGAGAATAATTGAAGGAAGAGAGAAAGAGAGAGGAAGAAAGAAAAACTGGAGACGATTTAGCGTTTTGACTAGTACATCGACCTTTGCGAACTGTTTCGCTTCCTTTCGCGATCGATGATGGAAGCGCGGAAGCGTGGCGAAGACGTCGTATAACAAAAGTTCCTGAAACTTGGCTGTACCTTCGGCAAACCGGTTTATCGATCCGACTCGGCGGTGGATTCTTGTCCTTACTTAGCGGTGCGTGTTTAGCGCTAAAGTCTGCCGTCGTCTGGTTTTTCTTTTTCTCGTACGTCGATCCGAAAGTCACGGCTTACAACGCGGGCATTAGATTTAAATGGACCGAAGTCCGCCTCGACGTGCGTATAATTGAGCGCAACTTGTCCCCGATCATCAGTAGAATAAATAGGATAGATTGGAGCAAATAGAAAAATAGGAACGCGTAAAAACAAAGGCCCATATTCTGAATCCTCTTTTATCTATAAAAGTGCCTCTAAAAGAAGCTTAGGAGCCACCTGATTGGCTGAGAAGCTACATTTTATTTTTATCGATAAAAGAGGATTCAGAATATGGGTCATTGACTTCACTCGAGCTACGAGTTCTTTTTCTTGGCAGACAGGATTCGATATTTTGTGTTTGACTTAATATATTTTTTTTGAAGATAAGATTAATATATCACAAACGTGCATCATTTAACTTTAACATTGCCACATATCTGAATAAAAGACGTATATATGTCTACATATTAAACATGAACAATAATTGTAATATTTTTCAACTATCAAAGGACATTTTGTAAGGTTCGTTTCCATTTTATGTATATTTGATTTTCTTTGAAAAATTATATAAATTCTTTCATCTTTCTTATTCTCTTCTACTGAGATAGCAGGCGACATCGTATCGTTACTTCAAGGTTGAAATCGTTAACAAATACGCAGAGGCGTAACGAGAGAAACTAGTCGGTAAAACAATCGGTATGCGACTCGAAAGTTACAGCAAGCGGCGGAAAAGCGCAGAAAGTGCAGGGAAGTCCAGCTGAATTATGACGGATTCATGCGGGAACTCGCGACGAGTCGCACCAACGTAACCACACGCACACGAATGCGTACGAGAGTTCACAAGGTCATCTGGCTGGAAACGTCAAGACGGTGCATAATCGTAGGTTAGAATTCGATCGTGTGACCGATACCGCGCTTATCCAAAGGCAACTTTGTGTCAATCAATTCGCGCGACGACACGTCCAGCCGAATCAACGGGAAAGCGAGAACTTGTCGATAATCGAAGCGTATGACGAAGTCGATGATCTCACCTGTTGGTACGTTGCTCATCTCGTCGCTCTCGTGGCGCGGAATCGTGGCGAAATGGTGAATTTTCGTTGAATCTATATGAGACGTCGTTTCCGACGTTACGTCGCCGATCGGCGAGCTCGGATCCGTTCACCAGGAAGCGATGAATGATATGCGTTCTCCGGTACCGAACGGAGATCGATTACTTCGTCTCCACCGTGGATTGACTGAGTGTCGGTGGCCATTTTGGAAATGCTAGCGTGACTATCGCTATCTGGCGAGCGCCGGCCGCAGTTTCGGGATTTAGCGGGAGAAGATGGCCAATTCAAATGCACCTTCTACTAAGTCAGTACGATGCATACATAAAAATCGCAAAGAAACGATGAGCTAATATACTGTGATCTAATGCAATGCAAAGATATAAGATTACAGAGACATAAAGTACACGATTGCTGGAATTAAATGAATATCTACTTTTTAATTATTGTGTCAATGTAATCTTACAAATCAACAAAATTAAACTTTGTTGTACATATTATCTGCGAGTTTCCATAGACACAAGATTGAGAATAAAACATAAATAATTCTCCAGATAAAAGTATGAAATAAAAGTGTAATTACTAATTGCTGATAATATAATTGCTAATTATATACCAAAAATATTTTATGATATTGAAGTGAAATGTAATTAAATTTTATTGTATTAAAACATTGGTATATATCTCTCAAAAGTCTCACTTGAAATTTGTATATATTGTATATGTCATTATATATTTTATCTAAAAAAGTCAGAGGAAAACCATTATAGGTATTATAGGTATTCCTATGTAGTGTCTAACTGCAGAACCAGCTACAATATGATTTGCTGATGTACTCTAGAAAACAGAGAACTTGCAAGAGAAATCTCTGCTAAGGCAACTTAAAATTAGCTTACAAGTATTTTGCATACTGAAAGCAGTGTATTTTGAATCAGATGTATATATATCTCAATGAAGAAGTGGAAATTTAGATTAATGAATTTTTAAATAAAAAAGGGACAAATTTACAAAATTTCAATATCTTAAAGAATAGTATGTTACTTATATTAGATTGTATATGCATATATAATATAATAATTACATTTTATTATGTAAGATAAAAAAAATTACATTTTAAAATTATTATATTGTAACTCGTTACTGGTTCTCTATTGGTGATAACTTATTATTACTATTGACAATTTTGGAAAATTATTCATTATCGTGATTGTTTTTCAATAAGTAATGAGTTATTAGAAGAAATATTGAGTTTATACTGTTTTCATCAAATTTTAAAGATCCTTCTCTTGACTGTTTGATGCCACTCTGATCTTACGTGCATATATCTTATATATATTCGTAAACTAATCATAAAAGTTTTAATTACATTTCTTACTATTAGCCAAGAAGTGTAATTACTATCATAGTTATTTGAAGAGATTAATGTCTTTAGTAAACAGTTACAGACTAAAAGTAACTTTAAGAGCATTACATAATGCTTACTTACCAGTCTTGATATACTAGATGATTTATTTAAGTAATATAGTAATATAATAATATAGTAATTGTAATATAATAATATATAAATGCGAACTTTTTTTTACAAGGAAAGGGTCTTGTGGAATATATTTCTGTTACTTCTACCAAGGAGAGAGATGTACTTTTGAAAAACTACTTATGCAATGAAAATTAGTGGTTTCAAAATTGAACATATGCTTAAAATATTATTAAATGCAGTATGAGAAGAAATACAAAAAACATTATAAAATTAAAATTATTAAAATTATTAAGTTTATAAAATACTATATAATAAGTTGAAAATTGATTAAAGATGTTTTATTGTTTTAAGACACAAGAAGCAATCCTTATGCACTCAATTGTATTTTGTTCAGCAATTCGGAAAATCTCTCAAATTTTAAAGATGTTTTATTGTTTTAAGACACAAGAAGCAATCCTTATGCACTGAATTGTATTTTGTTCAGCAATTCGGAAAATCTCTCAAATTTTAAAGATGTTTTATTGTTTTAAGACACAAGAAGCAATCCTTATGCACTGAATTGTATTTTGTTCAGCAATTCGGAAAATCTCTCAAATTTTAAAGATGTTTTATTGTTTTAAGACACAAGAAGCAATCCTTATGCACTGAATTGTATTTTGTTCAGCAATTCGGAAAATCTCTCAAATTTTAAAGATGTTTTATTGTTTTAAGACACAAAAAACAATCCTTATGCACTGAATTGTATTTTGCTCAGCAATTTGGAAAATCTCTCAAATTTTACTCTATGGAATTACTAGCTGTATCGTTCAAGATCTCTCTCAAAAAGGAATAAAAACAAGAATCCCTTGTAGACTTTTTTTAACAACATTTATTTCTAATATGTTCTATCGCCTATGTACAGTTACACATGGCTGAACTATGCAACGCAAACACAACGAACTCCTACAGACTGCGTGCACGTTTATTAACAATAATAAGGTCCTCAGAGGCGATCGGCGTAATTGCGGATGTTGTTCTCGTCGTCTATATAAATGATCGTGTCGTCGTTATTTTATGGAAGCGTAGAAATCCTATCTGGTGTAGATATATGTATATATATATATATATATATATATATATATATATATATATATATGTATGTATGTATGTATATATATGTATGTATATATGTATATTATATTTTTATATACACACAAATGTGTACGTATATCGTTCGCGGCGAAGCGATACGTTCGTATACGGAAGAACTGTGTGATTCCACTTATCAGCCGAGCATTATCGCCTGTAGTTGAAAAGCTTAACAGCAACAGTACGTACGTTAATTGGTTTCGGCAGACCGACAGAATTCTCACAGTCTGAACTCCAACGTGCTCTCCTTAACTTCAAAATGACAAATTCTAGAAACCTGATATCCAGCCTGTGTCCTCTTTTTCCTGAATTTCAGTTCGCTACCGTCGATATATAATTAATGCCACAAGATACATTTTTCACGATGGAACGTATGTTTCTTCAGTGTGCTTCTCGAGGAAAGAAATCAGAAATGAGCATTAAAAATGGATTAAACATTTCTCTTGGATTTGAGAAGACAAGGAATTGAAGTAGAATATGATGTGAAGTAGAATTGACGTAGAATATGATGTAAGTAACTTATAGTGTAAATTGTCATTGCTAGAGAACTCAACAGGAAAAGATGAAAAATGAAGCAAGTGTCAAATGTTTCGGGTGTTTCGCTCTGTATAGCACCGTTTAGAGTACAAGTGTTTTTCTTTTTTTTCTCTTTATTTTTATCAATGTTCAAAATTATTTTTGCCTTTTGAGAACCTCAACAAAATTATTGTCATTCTTCCTAGATTAAGCGTGTCACACAAACGCATACACGGTACGCGACGCATTTAATTTACTCGGATTTATCCCTACGAAGCGTCTATCGCGCAAAAGATACGTTTAATTGACCTGTAAGCAATGCGTGTGTTCGATAGTGTTGGTCAAGACGTATATTCGCGAATAACAACACAGACGAACAGTGTCAAATATGTGTTTGCGTGAGAGTATATCAGAGTATATTTTATACACACATCAATAATTATATTCACAGATATATATGTATATATATATATTCTCACAGAAAACGTATCGGCGTATACTTTATATAGCTAGTTTCTCTTTTTATTTTTTGTATATTTACGACAATAATTTGTGCAAACGCATATTTAAAATCCTCACTCATTATTCGCGAATATAATCTTGCCCCAAACTAGTGTGCGGCAAATACGTGTGGGATTCTTTTTATCCTTCTCTCGTCCTGCAGCGGCATTTTTCGCAACGCATTAACAACAGATTACATCGAAACAACCGATCCGTAACTGCCCCAATCAGTCGATTCCCTTTCTTTCTAGATTCCGCGAGGGAAACGTAAATAACGGGAAATCTATGTTAAATAATTATTATTGCTCGATTACGAAGCCGTCGCGAAGAATCATCGTTCGGTTTGCCTGACTTTGTTACAGATATATTGTACAGTCGCTGTATTTACATGAAGATCTACGAGATCCTTGTTCAAAAAGTCCGACAAAGAGGGAATCAGACTACTATTGATATGACCAGAAAAACTATTGATATGATCAAATCGATATATTCCTAGTTCGTATTCATTAGATATTTTTCTTTTTTTTGTTTTTATACGTTCGATAAATTTGTATCTATTCGATTCCATTTTTATCGCAGTAATGCACGAACACACCATTTATCGGAGAGAAATGATAGGAAATAAATTTCACTTATAATTCAGAGTATGACTTTATATTGTAAATGTAGGATATAACAACAATGTAAATGGGAATGAAATCGTGCAAATATAAATTATAGAATTCTTTTTTTACGAGAATAGTTTTACTGAACAGTTTTTTAACAAAAATTAATTTAAAAAATTTGCAAGTAACAATATCCTTTCTGAAACTTCGGTGAATTTTGACAATTTTGCGTCATGAGTTGCCAAATTTTGTCTCAACACTTTTATTCAACAATTCATTTTCAAGGCATGTTCTAAATACGAATGGTAAACTATTTGTGACATCTCAAACCAGAATCAGGTTCCGATTTCGCTTTAAATAAAATCTACTTAAAGTGAGTCGCGAGAAATGAATTTTTGTGATTTTCCTACATACACCTTTGTTTACTCTTCGAAGAGCTCCTGTCGGGCTCTCTGAACAGGAAGACTATGAATCGCCTTTCCGGTCGCCCGACTTGGCCTCTTATAAAAATAGTGTCGGAGTTTCGCGGCAAGCGAGACGAATCGAAGATAATCGAACACTCGGCAACCGGTCCTCAATCACCGCGACTCGGGTTTACAGGGGTCGTCTCGATATTTTTGATCCATCCGTTCCGCGTGAGGAGCTGGATTACTTGTAGCGGCAAAGAGGAACCCGAAGAGAGAGCGCGCGTAGAAGGAGACCTTCCTCGTGGTGACTCGTCGGGTTCCCTTTCGTGCACCGAAAACTCTCGCGCACGATTCGCTTTTTACAATTACTTTACACTGAGACATTGACCTCTAGAGGCACCTATTACGATCTACCCACCTGTCCTTAGGCGATTTACTTATTTATTTGCACTAACGACGTCCGCACGTCCGTCCACACGCCTGATCCGATATTATCGATCCACGCGGGCGCCGGACATTTAATGGAAGCTAATAAGCTCCATCTTCATTAAAATATGTCCTCGACGTCGGCGTAATTACGGTCCCAATATCCGCCCTGATATAACCAATCCTCCTGACCTGTGTACGGGTTCGTGCTCGACTGGAACCATCTGCGAAATTGAGTTTTCAACTAATATATGTGAGAGAAATAAAATCTATATTTATATATCTATAAGATCTATATTTATATCTGTAAGAGCAGTGTCAAGTTATTCAAATAACTATATAGTAATTTACATATATATTATTATATAAATAAAGTTTACACAATTTGTTATTTATTTTTCTTGTTTTCTTGAAAAATATCAACTGCAGAGTTTCCAATAAAAGGGATTCAAAAGTTTTTAATCTGTCCAAATAATTGTTTATCGTAAAAGTACAACTTATTGGAAGCGGTCACAGAATTGTTGGAATATTACTCTTCAATTTTGCAAAGCTTTGAAACTTCTAGTATCTTTCAAATCGTGAATATGTCTCTCCAATAAAATAATAAAAACAAAATACAAAGTTTTATGTACCTGGGGACGTATTCGTGTCCTCTCTTGTGTTTGCGGGCTTTACGGGTGTCCCTCTGCTTTTCCTCGAGCCTGATTTTCTCAGTCGCAGCCCCATCTTGATCACCCGTCTCCAACTTTCGGATATCCGGTCTTAGTCTGGAATCGGTCGGGCACAGGGTCTTCCCCATGTCAGGGTCTAGTTCGTTTAGCGACATCGCGAACGTTGTGAATTGGAAATACTACAGAAAAAAAAAGACAATTACGTTAATCGAATTAATTGATCGCAGAGGTGTGCAACATATTCATTCAATTAAAACCGACGTCTGAACTGTTGCTGGGCCTCGGCGTGACTTCCCACAGTGTGGTGGATCCTGGAATCTCGTCCACGACGGGCATCTCGTCGCTGTCCATACTTGCCGAAGAATCGTCTATTGCGTCCTGAAATACAGAAAAACATTTGTATTGCGTACATCATTTTCGGTGACCCTAAAAATGAGAATAGGCTAAAACTATTTCAAGTGTAGATAACAAAAAAGAAAAGAAGAAATATTATAGAGAGAAATATAACGGAATATAATTATTTAATGAGAGAGATTAAATACACTGAGAAAAAAGCACTTGAATATTTATTTGTGGGATACAAAAATTTATTCCACTAAATTTATTTCAATATAAATTTTCAAATATTTTTTTTCAGTATAGACAATTAATTTTGGAGTTATTAATTACAGTAAAAATTAATTAATTACGTAGATAAACAATTAATTTGTGAGACAGAGACAGCTCTATACCTGATGCAAAGGTTTGAAAGCTCCGACTTTGAGACTGTGGAGCTTCGCTAGGACCTTCTTGTGACCCGGACTGCCTTGCGGGCTTTTTGCCTCCCTCTTGATCTTCTCGAGTGCTTCTTCGTAGAACGAGGGCTCGCAGGATCGTAATCTTTCGGTCCATTTGCCGTAGAGGAACAGCAGCTTCCTTTTTCTGGTTAGAATAAAACAATAATAATGCAATGTAACGAGACACACATTCTAATTAAATTTTCAATTATTGGAAATATGATAAGCTAGGACGAGCCGGTTTTAATTGGTTTAAACACGGATATTAAATATAGATGGTAAGAAGCAAATTGTCGTCGCAGAAGTTATTTCGATGAATGTCCGAAATGAAAAGACGTCTGTTAAATTCGTGTTGAAGTCTTGAATAAATCCATCAACTCAGCTCGTTAGGAGAGATCGTTAAAACGTACTCCTGATCCGTTATAAAGCCCTCGACGCGATGGAGATCTTTGCCGTTCCACGTGCCGCTTTTGAACGCCAGCGTGGCCTTCAGATTGTCTCCTCCGTACTGTCTGATATCCAAAGCACCCAATTGTTCCATCCACAATTGACCCACCAGCACATTGTGCAGGATGCAATTGACGTTTTGCCAAGTGTAAGCTTCCTTCCATCTGTTCACATGTATAGCTTAATTAATTAATATTGAAATCTTTTTAAGAATTCCCGTGCCTTTAATTAATTATTTTATTCTATTTATAACTACAAATTATGTAATTTGTTTTATTTAACTGCCTTAAACAACTAATGAGGAAAATAAAGCGACGATCGAAAAGAGAAATTCTATTAAAACATTTTGGGCTTCCTTAGTAAAAATTTTTGTTGTTTCTTAGTGTTGAATAATAAACAATTGAAATGACTATAATGTTAAGCAACATTAAAATTACTAAATGAGAAGTTACCGTGTAAATAATTATAATTAAATAAACTTACTTAGGTAGCTCGACAGTGACAACTCCCTTCGGATGCACTTCTATTGATTTTCCCCAAAATTTCAATTTAGGATGGATGCTGCCATGAAAAATGAAGTCCTCGCTGTCGGCGTAAAACGCAGAGACCGGAGGATGATGCGACACCTGTTCGCATATTATTCTGAAAGAATCGGCAGAATCTGCTTAGGATATTAGAAATCTGGATTCTGTAAATGAAGCTTTGAATTTCTATGCAAATTGTCCCAATCTAAGACTTTTTTCTAACTGAGAATTCATTAATATCTCAGAGTAATATCTTCTTCACAAAAATAAGTCAGGGTATCGATAATTTTTAAGGCATAACTAATTATAAACATAAAAAATTACCCAATTGCGAAAAAGATAATTATTAGACAGTCTTAAGGAAATAAGAGAAAATTTCTCGAAAATTGGTGAAAGGATTCTAAATTGAAAAAAAAAACGGCAAATTTGAAACATCATGTATAGAAATCTAAATTCTTAGAACTAAAAAATACTAGAAAATATGTATAAAAAAAAGATTTCTTAAAAAAATTTTTAAGAAATATTATTTTTATTATTTTTTAATTTTTAAATAATCATTTTTAAGAAATCTTTTCTTAAATTTTTAAGAAAATAAAAGATATATTTAAACATTTTCTTTTTCATTTTTGACAAAAATATTTTTTATTCTTAAAAAATATATCTTGTCAGCCGAATTAGAACATCTTTAAACTCACAAAATTCCAATTTTATAGGAGAATAAAAAAAAATTATATATAACTTTTATAAAATTACGAATTTTAATTTTAATTAGAAGGCTTGCTTTTCGAAATATCTTAATTTCTTATAAAAAATTTATATTTAAAAGCTTTTCCAACGATGCAGAATCTCGAGACAAATCGGACGAAAATGCGTATTTCAATTTTGTTAAAAATTAGAGTTAGGAGATTTTCTAATTTAGTTGATGATATGTGAATTTGTCTCATAAATACGAACTAGTTATTTACCGAAAATCTTCACGTTCCAGCTCGTAAGTCTCTCCTAAAATCGGATTGAAGGGTTTTCCGAGGCGTTCCCAGTTTGAGGCAAGAGCACTCACAGCGAAAGCCGCGACGTACTGCAGGATTGTTAATTTTAGTTTTTGATATGCCCGAATATTGATTTGTCTATTAATACACTCGACATTGTTTTTGTTAATTCAACGCTTTCTCTCTCTCTCTCTCTCTCTCTCTCTCTCTCTCTCTCTCTCTCTCTCTTTCGATTGAATTTAGGGAGGACGATAGATTAAATTTATATGGCGTTACCTGAAGCCTCGAGATTGACGATTCCTCTTGTGACGCCAGCTTCAGCAATCTGGCATATTCCATATATTCGGCAACTCGTTGCAAAAAAGAAAGCGGCTCATTGAAAATGACCGGCATGGTGATTTTGCTGAGATCTTTGCCCAGCGACAGCACCGAGCAGAGATTTACTTCGGAATGGCCCGGAACCGGTAACGATGTTCTTGAAAAATAAACGACACGCACTCTTGTACAAAGGTATCTTTATGATTCTTCTATTTATTAGTATATCTCATATCTTTGTAATAAAAATGAAGGTACAAAAAATATAAATCGTTATGTATCATTATATTGTTCTCTCTTATCCGTGTGCGTTCTGAAAGTGTATCGAGTTCAAGGACACGCTTCGAGACACACTTTGAGAGAAAAATGGCTGAATAACTGAACGGGAACATTGCAAACCTGTGTTGTCCCGATATCCTTTCGCTGGCCATTGTACGGGTCTCTTGTGGTTATCGAGCGTCCTGACAGCCGCAGGAGCTTTCAATCTGTCGCTCTTATGAATCGATACTGGGATTTTCACCGACATTCGGTGATTACGAAGCCCGACGATTTACTAAGCGACGCTCGAGGACTTGTGGCAGATTATTTGGCTGCATTGTTCCATTGGAAGACTTCATAGACAAAACGAACGAAAGAGGGAAAGAAAGAGAGAGAGAGAGAGAGAGAGAGAGAGAGAGAGAGAGAGAGAGCACTCAAAGATCCTCGAACGCTCTGAGATATCTTGGATACTCGAACGGACGTCTAACTTGAAGGAGTAGCGCAGCGCGGATCTTTAGATCGCTGGGTAGTGTAGTTATAAAGTCGGATCTTCGTGCAAAATTTATTTGTTAGACTTTTTAGTTTCCAAAAATTATTCCAAAGATTCTACGTTACGCTTTTTTAGAAAACTCGGTTAGTATTCGGACTGTTACCCGCCCGCCAAGCAAGCCGGGGTCCTTAGAAACTACAGAATGCCCTCGGGTCCTTAGAAACTAGGCGGCTCCTCGGATGAGATGCTCAGAGATGCTTTGTACATTCAGGTCGATCCGCGATCCCCTCGTCGTGACTCTTTTACTCCGTCTCGAATTCTCGAATCCTTATCATGAGCCTCCTCAAAGCGGACGACGAATCCTCGGACAAACCCTCGTTCACAGATCTCAACTCAGATCTCTCGATCTCTCGGCTGCAAGACGAAGAAAAGGAGACAGGGGTGCGTGACATCTAAATGGACCGTCCGGCGTTCTTTTCTCCCCAGAGTCCCGTCCCGCTATCTCGACGACATCCCGGTGGATCGGTGCCCGATACCTCTCGCTCTAATTTAACCGCGAGACGCGATCACTCGCGGAGGATCCGCCGACGATCAGCTGACCACCACCAGCCGTCGTCACTCGCTCATGATAAAAGATCGAAAGCCCAGAAGTCGTCTCTTCCCGCAGTGGCCGCGACGTCTTCTTGCGAGCCTGTGCTCTCACGATCAGCTGTACACCCCGAGAAGACTGTTGAGCTCGCGGGCGTGACGGCGAGCTCCCCCTTTGCTCGAGCTTTCGCCTGAAATATCAATAAATCCGAGCATGGGCGTTGAGCTTTCGCGTGAGCGACGCTTTTCCGCTGGAACGACGAAGCGATTCGCCCTCCGGGCTCCAGGAGCAGCCGCGTTCAAGTTTGCCGGCTTCGAGATGTTCGATTATGCTCAACGGCACGATCTATCGAATTGCTGGTGAAGTTTAGGTGCCTAATCGAATATCTTGGTTTTCTTTAAGGCGAAACTCGTGGACAATTTAATGGACATCAAGATTCCGTGTTTTGTTGTTATAAATTAAACGAGAGTTGTTTATATATAAGAAGGAGGAATTCACAGTGAACTTTCTCAGTACTTTCTTCAAAGTGACTACTTTGGAAAGATAACTTGTGATTTTTTACAAGCTAAGGAATTAATTATTATAAGGTTATAAATTTTCCTCTTACCTTTAAAAAAAATTCCTCTTTTTTTAAGATGTGCATTTGTAGCGCAAGTCAATTTATATCCTCAGTTATAACCCTCAAGTTCTCTTTTTTGTCTTGAGATAAAAATAGAAGTTTATTTGTAGAATAATGTCCGAGATAATTTTTCAAGCCATTCGTCCTGACTTGACGTCGTCCGATAATACGTCAGCTAAAAGATACAAGAAGATTGTCCCATTACGATTTAACGTGCATTCGTTATATACGTAAAAATCAATAGAAGGTGCAAGAGAAGGAGGACGGAAGAGCAAAGTTTCAACAATGTGAACAACGCGAAACACCCACGACGGAAAAAGACATTATCACGCAACGCTGAGCTCTGCGAAAACGCGGAGTGAATTTAATTAACGCACACCCCATACGTTCCACTATCGAGACCACAATGCTGCCTTCATCGCGTGCAGCCCTCTGGTAAAATTGGCGCATTGCACGAAGGGCATTCACTGAAGGACCGTTGAAAGCGTAAAGATCTTAACTGATAAAAGATACGTTTTTCATTGGACCAGGTATTCTGGAATTTTAGTCGGGAAAACGTGACCTTGATTTTCTCAATCTTTCGTCGCTTGAATTCCAGCACGGTCAAATCATAGATTGTTGATTTATGAATTCTAGAATCGCTGGATTCTCGATCTTTGGGCATTGGAATCCTTAAAATTTGTTTAAATTAAGAAATCTGCGAATCTCTGATTCTTAAATCTTTTCTCAGACTTAAAAAATTCGCTCTTCTCTTTAAAATACCTTAAATTTTACCTTAATGAGTTTCAAAGTTTTGATACTTTAGAGAAAAAAGGAAATCTATGAATGCCTGATGGAAATCGATGGATCGAGCTTTAGAATCTTCGAATGTCATCCCAAGTAGAACAAGTTGCCTATTGGTTCTTGGTAACGTTCTTGAAGTTAACTTTTGGAACGTATCTATAAGATAACAAGTCAATGTTTGTCAATAATTTGTCTCCATTAATATGACATCGATTAAATAACAGTTTACAGTTGGTTAATAGCTAGTTCATTTACGCATTTTACAGTTATCATTTAGTATATATTTAATTTATATCCACATGTACTAAACTTGATACTTTTATATCTAAATGATATCTTTTTGGATATTTAAAGTTATCTTTTGGGTGAACATTAGATAACCTTTTCAGTAAACAAAAACTTAACTTTTTTATCGAAAATAAAGTTATCCTGATCTAATTTTATATAGTAAAATGGAATATTTTAAAGGTAACGTTGTTCTACTGGTGACGAATCAATCCGAACATAAAAATTCCTCTAGATCTGATCATAGGAATCTTATTTTTTATCCCGTAGAATGTTGAAACAGGTTCTTTGGATTCTGGAATCTTGGTTTCTTGACGTTTTATTACTATTTGCCAGAATGGCAAGTCGATATCGAGCGAAGCGCACCTCAATCTCGACTCGCGCTTAGCTCGCGTTTTACGAGTCGCTCGTCCTTACTGCCTGCATTCAGGAGTTCAGTGCACCGCGGGCGCATCGCGACTCGGAATAAGAATAAGCCGAATCTCTCTATTGATTCACCTGGAAACCAAATCGATATCCGTGCGAGGTACAGGCGCTCACTTCGTTACGGATCGGCCAACTTTCCTTCAATCGAGTCGAGTTCGTCGTCCGTTTAAGCAAACTCTGCGAAATTTCGCGGCTTAGCAACGCGCCCTGGAAACAGATTTTTCCACGGCTCGAAAGGGGCATTGCGGTTCTGTCAAAAGTCGTGATTCCGCGAAAACTCCTTCGTGGCTTGAGAATCTTGCAAAAATCGCGTTCGCTGAATCGATCAAGTTTCATTTTCTATCGAATCAATGTGATGATGTGTTTAATCAGTCAAATATTTTCGGATAGTCTTGAACAATACGCGAAGACGTTTGTGAGAAAATGCGAGAGGTCGATACCTTCTATTAATTTTGAAAAGTGACGAAGACTTTCCATCGTCGGTGTTTAAAAATGAATAAGAAAATCAATCTCTTCACGGGGGATGAGAACTTAGAGATTCTCGGAGACCCTTGGGAGCTGAAGAATTCTTCGAAGGAGGTGGAGGAGAAGCCCATGACCCGGAAGTATCGCACGAAGCATATGAAGCAATTTCCGGAGTTGTACCGAAGCGATGTCTCGATTCATCCCAGTTACACCGGTTTGAAAAAATTACCCTAGTAAGAACAAGTGCGGTTAAAACTCCAATATATATATTATTTTAACTCTTGAAAATTTATATACATAATGGTCCATTGAGTCCATCACTTCGGGAAATCCTGCCAATAATTGCAATGAATTTACAATATGTAAATGTATAAATAACAAAAGCGTCAATTTTGATTTTAATAAATTGAAGACGCTTTGTTGAAGAGTTTTTAACGTCAAAATTAAGGTCACTGTTTATGAAAAATGTTTAAATCAATGTATAGTCTAGGCGACTAATTTCGTTCATATCGTGATTTTTTAAGCCATGTGGTCTGCAGGCATCGTGTGCAAAGAGTCAGGCGACAGATTTTCCGTCAGTTAAATCGCGAGATCGATCACTTTGCGATGAGCCAGATGTTCGCTCTCGATGGCGTGAGGATCGATCGCGTCTTCAGCGTCGGCATGTCGCCGAGATCGATGATCGTGCCAGATCCATTGACGGAAAAAGAGAGACGTCGACTGAACGAACTCCTTCGAGATTCCTGAAAAGTCCTTTCTATGTGATTTTCTATTTTTTAGATAAACTCCGCTTCGTTAATTTACGCATTCTGTTCTCTCAATTCTTGCTTCCTCTAAGCCTGAAACTATGACAGTATTCATTACTTGTAACTATTCCTTGTAATTGTTATCAATAAATTCGCGTGTGATTGTTACAATTATATTATATAATAATAGTTGATTTGAATTTCAAGTCAATTGTACGTGTATATAATATGATAGATATAATATGATAGATATAATATGATAGATTGTATATGTATATAATATGATAGATATAAAAAAGATTGGGAGAATGTGTAATGAGACAAAGAAACGAAAAATAAGACAAAATAATAATAAAAAAGATAAATTGCAAAGTACTTCTAAATATTTTTAGACAAATTAAGATATTTTTATCTTTCTACGTTCGACGAATGCGGGAACAAAAGAATTCACCGCACGTGAAGTGCATAATAACGACTTGACGTTTCAGCTAACAAAATTGTTTCACATTCCAACCGTGGAGATCGCGTCGTAACGCTGAAAGTTTTGAGGTATCTTTACGATGTTTCGGAATACCTATCAGGGCGGATTCTTGTCTATCCTGTACAGTTGCGGGTCATCTCCTCTGGAATTATGGGACATGCACGTCAGTCCTTACCCTAGTTTTCTATAAATAAAATAATAAACAACATTCGTTGGAGCGATAAAATGTCAGAGGATATATTTATGCGTTTGAAGAGATAGCTGTAATAATGGATTCATGATGGATATCATAAAGAATAATCATTTAAGTTATTGAGCACTTCCTGGACGTTTATTCAGGTGAAAAATGGATACATACGAAGGATCATGGACGAAGAAATAAAGTCGTTGGCGTTGGAGATAGCCGGAACCAACGTGGCGACCACTTACATTTTTTGTCCAGCAGACCCGAAGAAGGTGCTCGCCATTAGGCTGCCCTTCCTTATCATCATCATCAAGAACATGAAGAAGTACTTCACGTTCGAGATAACAGTAAAGTCCATGTGAATACGTAATTAACAAATAAGTTAATAATTAATTAATAAATAATCCAATCCTTGTCTTTTCTAAACAAGATTTTCTATTCTTCTGTTCTTCCTAATAATATTTTTTATTAAAGATTCTTATCTTCCTCATTGAATAAAATTTCCTAATTTTTTCTTTAAATAACGCTTCCTTAGATGTAATTTTTTAAATATTTTTCTTCTATATATTTCTTGCCTCTGTAAAATGTCATTTCACGTATCTATATTTATGAAGTACTTCTTTTTTTATTTTATCTTAAAATAAAACTTCCTTTACTTTAAATAAAGTTTATGAATTATTTTTTCTTTTTTTTATTACATCTCACTGCTCTTTGATAGACACAATTCAAAAATATCTCAACGTCGCGATTTGTTAAACAGATATTGGACGACAAAAATATGCATAGGAGATTTCGCGTGAGCAATTTTCAAAGCGTCACGCGCGTTCGTCCGTTTTGCACGTCAATGCCTATTGGGCTTACGGGCGGATGGAACCAGATTCAGTTCAACTTGTGTGATTTCACACGAAGAGCTTATGGCACGAATTACATCGAGACCACCAGGATGCAGATCCACGCTAACTGCAGGATCAGACGAATTTATTTCGCCGACAGGCAGGAATTGACACAATGCGTCATATCGATTATGTTTTTAATTAAACACGCGATGGCCGAATTCGGGATTGTATAAAATATAATTTATTATCGCTAAACTAATTTAATTTATTTCAATTGATTCAACTGAGGATATCGTGAGTTTCGCTGAGTTTTCTCGGTAATTTTTTATTTATGTTCTTTGATAGATATATTCATATACCGCACAATTAAAAAAGATTTAGGCGCTGACGGATTGATTTCGCAAGCCACAAACATTCCCCAGGCTTTACTCGGAAGATGAGATGCCGGAAGACTTCAGACTGTTCTTTCCGGTGCATCGGAAGAAATGCGTTAGGGAGAAGATGCCGAAGGAACCAAGCGTAGAGCTTGAAAAACCGCCATCCGTCGAGGACGAAAAAACACCCAGCATCGAGACGATAATATCAGAGGAGAAATCAATCGAGGAACCGGATATTCCAAAGGAAGAAATGGAACCTAAAGAACCGTTCGAAGAACCTGGAGAACTTGAAGAGATGATCGATTGGGAAGATAAGGAGGAAGAAGAGAGATTAGAAGAGGAAGAGGAGATAGAAGCTGAAGAAGAGGTCATGATCCTTGACGAAAAGGTAGAAGCTGAAGAAGAGATAGAAGCTGAAGAAGAGGTAGAAGCTGAAGAAGAGGCAAGAACTGAGGAAGAGGTGAGAATTGAAGAAGAGGCAGTGGTTCTTGAAGAAGAAGCGAAAGTTGAGGAAGAGACCGCGGTCCTTGACAAAGAGAAAAGAGCAGAATTTGCGGATGAAGACGAAGGTGAAGAGGAAGACGCAGAAGATGAGGCGAAAGAATGAATGGAGTGTGACTTTTGATAAGATGATTCGTTATCGATGGTACACTAAAAAAGGAAATAATTCATCACGAAAAAAATAAGTCGAAAGTGTGGTCAATAAATGACACGAAGCCTTGTTTTTGATCAAATTGAAAATTCGGCCCATAAAAAAAATTTTCGTTCCATATATTTTCGTGTTACTCTTTCATAGCAAATCGTCATCTTTAAGTTTACAGTATTGATAATGATCTTATATGTATTTATTTTAGCAATTAAAGAGCAATTATATTTTTTGAGAATATCAACTCTTATATGTAGATATAAGTATTTCGATGAAAACAAGTGAAGTGACTGTTTCGTTTTCTCAGGTGACTTGTAGGGAAATTTAACATCTTTTTGAATTTCTGTTTTTTACGCAATCATAATTTATTGCATAAGCCCTGTACATTCTTCTTCTCGCCTTATTTAAAACCAGAACGAAAGTATCATTATTGCGAACTTATACGAGATTTTATTGAAATGAAAAAAGTAGAATCGAGTATGTTAATATTTGAAATGATGGAAACTGAGAATGTCAATGGAAAACTATTTAGAATTCAATTACGACACGTCATAATCTTCGTCTTCGCGTTTCCTCTTCATCGAATGTTCCTCTGTCTCCATCTTCACAGGCGGCAATGTCTGCCCGGACGAGATCTGTATCTTCGGTTTTGTAACCTGCGCCTTTACTGCTGTAGTGGTCGTCGTCGCTAAAATAAATATTTGAATATATTTTAAAATTAAAATTATTTTAAGTTTGCTCACGTTCACTCCCCC